AATAAATCAAAAAATCAGCCGGGCATGGTAGCGCATGCCTATAATTCCGGCTACTTGGAAGGCTGAGGCAGAATGATTACCGGAGCCCAGCAAGCGAGGCTGCGGGGACTGGGAGCAGCCACTGCACTCCAGTCTGGGCAAACGAGTGGGACTCCAACTCAAAAAAAAAAAAAAAAAATACATCTGGAGATATGGTATCTGTGTGAAGATGGTCTTTAAGGTCGTGACACTGGATGGGGTCACCCGAAGAGTGGGCGAAGGCAGCAAGGCGGGGCACCATGGACTGAGCCCTGGGCACCTCAACGATGACAGGTTGGGGGATGAGGAGGAGCCTGGACAGGGGAGAAGGAGGACCACCAGAGCGTGGGGTCCCCTGCCATCCAGGGCGCACAGTGCTGGTGTGGCATATGCTGCTGATGGGTCGAGAGGACCAGATCTAGCCAAGTCATGTCATTGGTGTCCCGGGCAAAAGCAGGGTCAGGCGAACAGGGGCGCGCACCCTAGCTGAGCAGAGTCAGGCGAGCAGGGGAGGGGGGAGCTGGCAGGTTCTGCCGTGACTTCACACCCAGGCGCCTTGGGCGATGTCCGGGCAGGCGTCGGCAGTGCTTCAGGAAGGGCGGGCCACACAGGGGCCTTCCTGCCGGGCCTCCCACTGAGGGTTCTCAAGCCTCCCTGGCCTGACTTCTCCTGCCTTCTGTACCAGACCTTCCGCCCATGAGCTTGACCTCAGGTAGACGCACAAGCCCTGGTTTCTGCCGCCTGCTCATGTTTGGAAATTCTTGTGATGGTAGTAATCTCAGACCTCAGCTTTCCTCTTGCACTGTCTCCTTTTTTTTTTTTGAGTTGGAGTCTTCACTCTGTCACCCAGACTGGAGTGCAGTGGCCACTCCTGGCCACCGCAGCCTCGGCCTGCTGGGCTCCAGCGATCCCTCCGCCTCAGCCTTCCGAGCAGCCAGAATTACAGGTGCACGCTACCACATCCGGCTGATTTTTTAATTTATTGTAGAGATGAGGTCTCGCCAAGTTGCCCAGGCAGGTCTCGAACCTGCGGGCTCAGGCAATCCACTCACCTTGGCCTCTCAAAATGCGGGATTACAGGCTGAGCCACCGAGCCCAGCAGTATCCTCTTTTTATGTAACCCATTAACTCAGAGCCTCTCAAAATGTATAGTTGGCCTGTAGTTTCTAATTCAACAACTTGTAAATCTCTCAAGCACCCTGCATGCTTCCCATCAATTTGGGGGAACATAGACCCTCATGGTTCCTGAGGCAGAGATGGCTGGCACCCACCAGCACAGGGCTGGGGGCTGCACTCATCCCTCCCATTTAGGGAGAGGGTGTGAGCAGTGGTGTGTGTTACCTCTGAGTCAAGGCTTTAGGATATGGGGGTGTTCGCTCCAATTTTTCCTTTTTTTCTCTCTTCTGCTGGCTGCACGTGAATGACTGTGCAACCCTGAAGGATGGTGGAGCACACCACAGAAGGAGTTTGGGTCCCTGAACCACTATATGAACAGAGTATGGATACTGGATAGACAGAACATTAACAACCTTCTTGGACTTTTACCACGAGTACAATAAACTTCACTGAGTTTGAGCCTTTATGGATTTGGGGCCTATTTGTTATAGCAGCTGGTATTATCCTAAGACGTTGGTACCTTAAAGTATGGAACTTCCATAACAAAATTCTACACTATGTGATGTCAGCTTAGTAGTGGGACAGGAAGGAACATAGAAATACTGGAGCTAGAAAATGAATATCTGCGTTATGCAGTGGTAAAACATTTGGCAACCCTATGCCCTGCTGCTGTGGTAGAAATGTTTATGGTCCCCTACCCCAACTTATATGTTAAAATCTAAACACTAAGGTGGGGCTTTGGGGAGGTGATTAGGCCAGGAGTGAGGAGCCTTCATGAATAGAATTGGTGCCCTCATAAAAGAGGCCCCAGAGAGCTGCCTCCCCCTCTTTCCACCACATCAGAACAAGCAAGAAGGAAGCATCTGTAAGTCAGAAAGGAGGCCCTCACCAGACACTGAATCTGCCTGTGTCTTGGTCTTGGATTCCCAGCCTCCAGTACTGTGAGAAACACATTTCTGTTATTTATAAGCCATTCAGTCCATGGTATTTTGTTATCGCCATCTGAATAGCCTAAGACAGTTATAAAAATAAAGAAGGCAGAACAAATAAATACTGAGGCCGCGTGCTGGGGGAAAACAATAGAAAAAGCTGGAATATTAATATGCCATGGTTTTGCTTGTTGTTGTATCTTTTTAAAACGTTCCAGGGAAGAGATGAGTTCAGGCAGGGATTGACTGATTGCAGGGCATGAGAGGGAACAGAGCTAGAAATCAGAACTGTATAGTCTTGCAGGGTTAGGAGACCTGACTTCTGGATTATCAAACAGGAAGAACTGAGACTGAAAAAATATTCTAGAGATAAAGGCTCATTCGAGATCCCCAGTTAAACAAAGCAATTCAGCCCCATGGAAAGTCCAGGTAGAAATGTCTCTTTCCCACTCATGTTCTCAGAGTCGTTGCCTTCCAGGGTCCCTGTCACCATCAGATGGGCAGGGAAGGAATGGCCCTGTGAGCAGCAGGGCTGCCTGTCTTCAAATTCACTAGGTGAACTTGGATGACAAAGCGCTCCAGGGAGGGATGTTGGGCTGGAGACCAGCAGCTCTGCCCTACATTGTCTGGACTGCAATGTAGCCTCAGTGTAAACTCACTGAGAGACAGGGTGAGTCCCACCAAAACAGGACGGCTGTTAAGTTTCTTGCCAACCTGAGTATGAGGGGTCTGAGACAGATAGATTTGACTTGCCAAAAAAAGAGAAAGAGATGAGGAGCTCCTTACACCCCAGGCCACGGGGCTCACACCTGCCTGTTACACAGGTAACACGGAGACAAAAGCAGAGATAGCACTGTACCAGAACTCCCCATCGTCCAGAGCCGTGTGACACAGGCGCTTTTGCTCAGCTGGGCCAACAGAACGCCACTCGGGAGAACTAGGGGTAAACAAAGTCAGTGGTTAGGCAGGTCGTGAAAGCGTAGCACTGGCCTTGGCACGCAGGACGCCCCTCCCCAGGGGCTCGCCAGGTAAGGTGCGGTCATGAAGGGTTAATACATCCTGCTCAATGACCGAAGCGCACCTAGGGCTGCGGAGGCTGGTGCACCACTGGCCTCCAACAGGAGGGCTGGTCAGAAAGTCCACGTCAAAGAGCGGCGGTTGGGCCGGGCTCGGTGGCTCGGCCTGTAATCTCAGCATTTTGGGAAGCCCAGGGGAGTGGATTGACTGAGCCCGCAGGTTCGAGACCCACCTGGGCAACTTGGCGAGACCTCGTCTCTACAACAAATCAAAAATTAGCCGAGCGTGGTAGCGCGTGCCTGTAGTTCTGGCTACTCGGAAGGCTGAGGCGGAAAGATCGCGGGAGCCCAGCAGGGTGAGGCTGCGGTGGCCGGGAGCGGCCACTGCACTCCAGTCTGGGCGACAGAGTGAGACTCCAACTCAAAAAATAAAAAAAGAGCTGCAGATGAAAAAAAATTCTCTTGGGACCCTTGGACACCTTCCTCCCCCAAAACACATACATAGAAGATTGTCACGGGACCACTACAAGGCATCGAATGCCCGAGCAAAGAGCCCAGCTGGAAGCTGCAGGGGGACTGACTTTCCTTAGCCTCCGACTTGCCATGTGATCTGGCCCGTGCATGGCCTCTCCTCTTCATGTACACGCGGACACTTCGAAAAGTGACTATGATACCTTACTTTTGCCTGTGCCTGACGTTTTCTGTCCCAGGGAACCTTCTTTACGTGACCTTACCAGGAAGTCTGGCAGGGTTCTTGAGCTGGACATGCTCGTCCTGCAGACGAGAGGACTCAGGTGGGTGTGGGCTTCCCCCAGGGATGAACTAGGGAGTTCATGGCCACCCGTCACCTTCCAAACTCAAGAACGGCAACTCCAAGTTCATGCGCTTTCTGTGACATCCCCCCCACACCCAGGCAACTCAAAGAGCTCAAGTGAAGTCATCCACGGTGGGGCTACAACCCACCTCCCGTAAACCCTGACTTAACTTTGGGGGCGCACTCAGGAGAGACCAGGAGACCCCGCAGGGGCATCTCCTCTCCGGGTGGCTCGTGCCAGGATAGAAGAGTGAAGCAAAGGGACCTTATTTGCTTTCTGAGCCATCACCTTCTCGGCGGTTCCCGCCCAGATAACTGGCCTGAGGGGCCAGGCAGTGCAGGATGGGGCCTGCCCTACCCCGTCACCCCAGGGGCTGCTTGGGTGGAAGACCAGCTTCTTTCAGCCTCGACCAGTCCAAAGGTTCTTTACGAGTTCCAGAAAAGGAGAAATGGTCTTTTGTCCTGTGCTGGCTGCTCTCGTGAAATCGAGGGGTGCTGCACATCTTTTTTTTTTTGAGTCGGAGTCTCACTCCGTCACCCAGGCTGGAGGGCAGTGGCCGCTCCCGGCCACCCCAGCATCAACCTGCTGGGCTCCGGCGAGCCTTCTGCCTCAGCCTTCCAAGAAGCCGGAACTACAGGTGCGTGCTGCCATGCCCGTCTCATTTTTGATTGATTGTAGAGACAAGGTCTTGCCAAGTTGCCCGGGCTGGTCTCGAACCTGCAGGCTCAGGCAATTCCCTCGCCTCTGCCTCCTAAAGTCCTGGGATGACAGGCTGAGCCACGGAGCCGGGCAGCACTACACATCTTACAGCATGATGTGTCTCTTTAATTTTGGTTCAACATTTCTCTGTTCTTTCCATCTCTGCCAGGAGAGAGAGGCCAGGCTCTCCCCAGTTTTGGAGCCGATCCAGTCTGAATCCATCTCTGCTGATGCCTCTTGGTTCTCAGGAGGCAGAAGCCCAGGACGGGTGGGGGATGGTGGGGTGAGAGCCTCAAGAAGGACAGTGAGTCTGAAAAGCATGTGTCTGTGTGTTCCGCCCTCACCCTGGAGTCTGGCTAATTCAGCCAAAGCCGTACCTTTGTCTGGTGGGCTGGTGGCTTTGTCTGGACTGAGGACAAACACCAGCTCAGTTTTACCCAGTTCTAGATTAGCTCTAGAGGCCGTCCAAACCCCAGGACCCACAGGTGGGCAGAGAAGGATGGCAGGAGCCTAAGACAGCACAGGAACCCTGACAGCTCCAGGCAGGCTCCACCCTGGGCCCATCCAAACATCCCTGGTTCCCAGTTACCTGAGTTGCTTCCCAAAAAACTGGGGCTTGGGTGGGGAGGGGTAATGCAGAAAGACAGACCTTTCTTTATCATGGGGGCCAAATAAATAACCCTGGATAACGGCTCTATAATGTAGGAGTTTCCTATTCCTCTTCCTCTATTTCATTTCCTTTCTTTTTTCTTGAGCCGGGGTCTCACTCTGTCACCCAGGTTGGAGTATTGCAGTGGTGTGATCATAGCTCACTGAAGCCTCAAACTCCTGGGCTCAAGTGATCCTCCCACCTCATACTCCCAAATAACTGGGACTACAGGTGGACGGCCACTATGCCCTGCTAATTCATTTTTATTTTTGTGGAAACGGGGCTCTCACTATGTTGCCCAGGCTGATCTCAAACTCCTGGGCTCAATCAATTCTCCCACTTCAGCCTCCCAAAGTGCTGGGGTTACAGGTGTGAGTCACCACACCTGGCCCAGTCCTATTTCCTTTTTTTCCCCTACTGAACCAGAGGGCCTCAGCCAATGATCAGTGACTGTCAGAAGAAACCCTAGAGTTACCTGCTTGGCAATATCTCAGGAATTTCCACAACCAAAAGACTCATTGCCACCTCATTGCACTCAAAACACACACACACACACACACACACACACACACACTCACACACATACACACACACGCATGTAGACACACTGCTTACTGGAGATACTCTTAACTGGGGATAAAGCCTTTCACCATATCACGGGGATATAAAATATCACCATGGGAGGTGATATTTTCATTGCCATAAATGCAATTCCATGAACATGAAAGAGCCGCTGTAAAGGTCTCTCTTGAGGATCAAAGGCAGGCTCAGGGCTGAAAGGGGAAGAAGTTAAGGCCACCCGGAAGCAGAACAGGACTCTGGATAAGAGCCCGAAAGATTTGTGGACAAGCCACTCCTCCCTCACACATCTACACAGCCCACCCTGGCCCTACACGCCCTGGGAAGCAGCCCGAGAGACAGAAAAGGGTGCTGACCTGTCGCTCCACGAACCGTTCCACTCGACCTGGCCCCAGGGGTTCCGGACTCTGATGAGTTGGACTTCCTGGCCTCGGAATTTTACCTGGAAGGTAAGGTGTGAGGGAGCTGAGAAGCGACACAAGAGGTGGAGGGTTGGCTGGCTTCATCCTTGGCTCCAGGGTAGCAATCTCCATGAGGAGTGGCTTTCCCTAGGGCTCTCGGTTGGAACGCCAGGGAAGATACATAAGAGTTCATCAGTTCTTGACCAGTCCTTGGCCTCTTTGAATTCCTATAGAATATAATTGCTAGCATTGCCATCGATATTTTATTACTCGGTCCAGAATGGTTGCGGCACATCTGGGAAATAAAGTAGAATTGCAATAACAAGAAATTAGTTCACATGCATCTTCAAAGGAATGTGTTTTCTCTCTACACTGGGCTCTCCCTAGAGGCAGGTCTTATTTATCTAGGTATCCTTAGCATCTGCTGCAGTGAATGAAAGAGCAACCCTCAAAAGTACTCATGAGCCAGGTGTGGTGGTGCATGTCTATAGTCCCAGCTACGCAGAAGGCTGGGGAGTGAGGATCTCTCAAGAAATCAAGCTCAAGATGGGGAGTTCAAAGCTGCAGTGAGCTATGATTACGCCCAGGAACGCGAGCCTAGGCAACCGAGTGAGATCCTGTCTTTAAAAATAAACAAAGAACAAAAAATTATATTTGTTTGTTTATTTATTTATTTTTAGCGTAAGTCCACTCCCGGGATCAAGCGATTCACTTCCCTCAGCGTCCTGAGTAGCTGGGACGACAGGTTTGCACCACCACGCCTAATTGTTTTTACTGTTTTTTAGAGCTGAGGTCTTGCTGTGTTGCCTAGGCTGGTCTAGAATTCTAGGGCTCAAGCAATCCTCCCACCTCGGCCTCCCAAAGTGCTTAGATTATAGGCACGAGTCATGGCTCCCAGCAACAATTCATTTAGAATTCTATTAAGAAAACTAAGTGATATATTTTAGAGGAGGTCGGGAGGACGGCGGCCGAGTCAGTCAGACTATGCGAGTCCCAGTGTGAGTGAGTGAGTGTATGGAAGAGTTTGTGTACGTGCTGGTGAGCAAGCGGGTGTGTGAGTGACTGACTGAGTGAGGGCCAGGAGCTGGCGGCCAGGGCTCTCCGGGTCCAGCGGCCGGTGCCGCAGCTGCTGGGCTTGAAACCTAGCGATTCCCAGGGTGCAGAAGCTGAGCATCATTTCTTTTTTTTTTTTTTAAATCGCCAAAACCCTTCCTGGAAAGAAAACGCTGGGAGAGACTGGCTGAGTGGGGGCTCATGAGCAAGTGGCCAGGGCCTTCTGGGGGCAACAGCTGGTGCCGCAGCTGCTCTGATCGGTCCCTGGCTCTTTTGGGGTCACAGAAGCTGAGCGCCATTTTTTAGAAAACTGACAAAATCTTCCTGTGAAGAAGCGGCAGGGAGAGACTACGGCCCCAGGCTCCGCCTCACCCCTGCAGTAGGAGCGACGGCCGGCTCCAGGCTTTGCCTCACCATTTCAGCGCCTGGCCAAGCACTGGCAGCCGGGGCTGCGGAGGAAGCCCAGCGGCAGAGTCCCACCGAAGAGGACCAGGGAGGCGCCCCACCGCCATCTTGAAGGTGGGGCAGGAAAGGGCTCTGACTCGCTCACCATGGAGCAATGGACTTGATCTCTGTGACGGGTGGATCGACTGTTTAGGGGTTGACCGTGGGAACATCCTGAAAGCACAAGCTTTGGAGGAGCCTGACAGATGCTGAGTTCCAGGTGCCCCACCCTTACCCTGATCCAGCCGGGGGACAGAGGGTGTGGCCAGAAAAGGACAAGGAAGAACTCCAAAGAGATCGGTGGTGAGTCCAGGGCTGACCCAGACCTCTTTCTCCCCAGCCATCCTCTGAACGTCAGACCCACACTGCTGGGCCACGACCGGGAGGGACAAGCCCAGGCAGAACTTGGACGTCAGTGGCAATAGGAGAACCATTCCAGGCTAGGCCTGGCTGGGGCACCCCTGCAGATACATACCTGGGGAAGAGACAATCCTGCACCTTCCCACCGGAGGAGATCTCTCTGGCCAGACCAGAGTGGGAAGGGAGGACTGCAGCCCGACCCACTGCCACTGCCTCTCCTCCCTCCCTGCTCCGGACACCAAGGAGCGAGTGAAAGAGGTGGCTCTCGGATTGCCTGAGCCCACGGGTTCGAGACCCACCTGGACAACTTGGTGAGACCTCATCTCTACAATAAATCAAAAACTTAGCCGGGTGTGGTTGCACGCGCCTGTAGTTCCGGCTACTCAGAAGGCTGAGGTTGAAGGATCGCCGGAGCCCAGCAGGTCGAGGTTGCGGTGGCCGGGAGCGGCCACTGCACTCCAGTCTGGGCAACAGAGTGAGATTCCAACTCAAAAAAAAAGAAAAAGAAAGAGGTGCTCTGCAGGAGAGACCTGATTAGAGGAACAATTACAGAACCTGCCACAAGAGGGCAGGTTTTAAAAAATCATTTTAATTAAAAAAAATTTTTTTTAAAGTTTTTGCCTGTTTGTTAGTTCATCTATTTTTTAAATATCTCTTCTTTTTGCATGAATGTGTATGTGAGGGTTTGATCTGCATCCCCCCCAATTTTTTTTCTTTTCTTTTTCTGTTTCTTTCTTCTTTTATTTGTCATTTTCTGTTTATGTGTGTATATGAATGATTGACGGTTCATCTTTTAATTTTGTTGTTGTTGGTTTGTTTTTGCTCTTTTGTTCTGTTTTTTTATTTTTTATAGTTTGAAGTGTGTGTCAATATATGTGTGAGGGTTCAACCTGAATTCCTTTTTTCCCCAATCTTTCTGTTTTTCTTCTCCATTCGCTTTGTGCTAGGCGTGTGTGATCAGTTTTCTTGTTTGTTTTGTTTTACTTTGTTGTTATTCCAGTTTGTTTTGAGGTGTGTGTATATGTATGTGTGTGTGTGTGTGTGTGTGTGTGTGTGTGTGTGTGTATGTTCAATTGTTTTTTGCATTGGTTTCTACACTGCATCATCATATAGAGTGGTGGCGGGGAGTGGGTCTCAAGGAACACATACCACAATCAGTGAATACTGTAATTTGCAAGTAGTTTCTGAATCCTAGCACCCCATCACCTACCTTATTCGACTTTCAAAAACTACAAGAGACAGCAAAGCTTCCTACCTACAGTCCTATTTCAAAATAGAATAAACCCAGAGCCTGGATCAGGGAAGAAAAGAGGGTTGAGCAAACATCAGAAGGGAAAGCCTCTCCCACTGACACTGAATAACAGAACTAAAGAGAAAAATAAGAGATATGTCACAAATGAGGAAAAACCAAAGGAAGACCACAGTTAATTTCAAGTGTAAAACAGAGAAAACTCCTGAAAAATCAGACCTTGGAGTCCAAACAATGGAAGTCACCAATGACTGGTCCAAGAATATGACAAGGATTAGGAAATGGATGGACATAGGGAATAAGACTCAAGAAAGACAAGATGCAACACTGAAAGAAGTTGTAACAGAGATTTTGGTAATGAAAAATTTCATCCAGGAGATAAATAACAAGATGACAAGCATGGAAAGCAGAATTAATCTAGCTGAAGAAAGACTCTCAGAACTTGAAGACCAGAACATGGAATTAACCTGATCTGTAAAAAACATAGAAAGAAGACTCAGAAAGAAAGAATGAAGCCTACAAAAGTTGTGTAATTAGATCAAGAGGCCAAACCTATGTCTGATTGGTATCCCAGAAGAGGAAAGGGAAATGGAGAACAAGTTGGAGCAATTATTCTAGGAGGTAATCCAAGAAAACTTTCCTCATCTCACCAGAGATGTGACCAGCACAAGTAATACGGAGAACCTTCACAAGACATCAAATAAGACTAACCCCTAGACACATAGTAATTTGTCTACACAAAGTAGGCACAAAAGAAAAAATCCTAAAGGCAGAAAGAGAGAAAGTTCAGATTACCTTCTGGGGAAAACCAATCAGAATAGCAGCAGACCTATTGGCAGGAACACTACAAGCAAGAAGGGGCTGGAGTCCAATATTTAAAATCCTCAAAGATAAACAATTTCAACCAAGGATTTCCTACCCAGCCAAGTTCAGCTTCACCAGTGAAAGAGAATTAAAATCCTTTCCAGACAACCAATCCCTAAGAAATTATGCAGTTTCCAGACCAGTTCAACAGGAGACACTTTAAAAAGGTATTAAGCATAGAAGAAAGAAAAAAAAAAGAATGACCACACACTTTCCAAGAGAACAGCAGAGCACAGCACCAACAGAGAATATAGCACAACAAGAAACTTTAAAACACACACATACATCAACCACAAAGCCAAAATAAAACAAGCAAACAAAGAAAAAACTTTATAAGAACCTCATGACAGGGATAAACAATCACATTTCAATAATCAGTCTGAATGTGAATGGACTAAATGCACCACTAAAAAGACACAGAATGGCAAACTGGATAAGAAACCATGACCCAATTATTTGCTGCATTCAGGAAACTCATCTCAGCACAAGGGATGCATACAAACTCAAAGTTAAAGGATGGAAAACAAGTTTCCAGGCAAATGGATCACAAGAGAAGGCAGGTGTTATGGTCTTAATATCAGACAAAACAACCTTTAAGCTATCAAAAATTTAAAAAGGTACAAAAGGATATTACATAATGATAAAAGGGTCAATCCATCAACAAGAAATATCCATCCTAAACATATGCACCCAACACAGGAGCACCAGCATTTATAAAGCAACTACCAAGTAAACTCAAAAAAGATATTGATTCTAACACTATTATAGCAGGGGATTTGAATACCCCTCTAACAGCCCAGGATAGATCATCGAGGCAAAACATCAACAAGGAGATCCAGAACATAAACTTGACACTTGACCAAATGAACTTAATAGATACCTACAGATTATTCCACCCAACAACCACAGAATATACATTCTACTCATCACCACATGGAATAAACTCCAAGAACAATCACATTCTTGGCCATAAATCAAGCATAAACAAATTCTATAAGGTTGAAATATTGCCATGCACCCTCTCAGACCATAGAGGAATAAAAATAAATATCAACACCAACAAAATTTCCC